TAATTATATTAATTGATTTGCATAAATTGAACCAGGTTTGCATTCCTGCAATGAATTTTGTTTGATTGTGGTGTATGAGTTTTTTGATGAATTGTAGAAGTCGATTGGCCAACATTTGTTGAGAAGTTTTTTCATCGATGTTCATCAAAGTAATGGGTCTATAATTCTTTTTCTTTGATGAGTCCCTGCCTGATTTTGTATGAGGGTCATGCTGGCTTTATAGAAAGAGTTTGGTAGTGAATTTTCACTTTCAATTTCATTGAAGAGTTGGAGGAGTATTAGTGTGAGTTCTTCTTTGAATGCCTTGTAGAATTCAGCTGTAAATCCATCCAGTCCTGGCCTGTTCTTGGCTGGGAGGTCTCTTATTGCTGTTTCTATGTGGATGGTTGACATGGATCTGTTATTTTGGTTGAAGTCATCTTGGCTTAATTTGGGCATGTCAATATTTATTAGTTTGTCCATATTTTTCAGAATCTCATCCTTATTTGCATAAATGTTTGAGAAGTATCCCCTTATTATATTCTGAATCTTGTTTTTTTCTGTAGTGATGTTTCCATTCTCATCACTGAGTTTGTTTATTTGGATGTGTTCTCTTTTTTTCTGATAAGATTTTCCAAGGGTCTGTCAATTTTATTAATTTTTTCGAAGAACCAACTATTTGTTGTGTTGAATCTTTCTATAGCTTTTTGGACTCTAGTTGAATTAATTCTGATTTAATTTTAATTATTTGTTTCCATCTACTGGTTTGAGGTTCAGCTTGTTGCTCTTTTTCAAGGAGCTTTAGGTTCATCATTAAATTGTTGGTTTCACATCCCTCCAATTTGTTAATGTAGGACCTCAGAGTTATAAACTTGCCTCTGAGTACTGCCTTAGCTGTGTCCCAGAGGAACTGGTAGTTTGTGTGATCATTTTTGTTAGGTAGCATGAACATTTGAATTTTCTTTCTAATCTCTTCCATGACATATTAGTGGTTCAACAGTGTGTTGTCCAGCCTCCATGTTTTACAGGATTTCCTTTGGTAGCTTTTGATTTTGATTTCTAATTTTATTCCCTTATGGTCTGAGAAAAAGCAAGGCATAATTTCAATGTTTCTGAATTTGGACAAATTTGCTTTGTGGCCTACAATGTGGTCTCTTTTGGAGAATGTTCCATGTGCTGCTTAATAGAAGGTGTAATCTGATGCTGCTTGGGGAAATATTCAGTACATGTCTGTTAAGTCTAGTTGATCTATATGGATGTTAAGATCCAGGTATCTCTGTTGAGTTTTTGGAGGGTTGATCTGTCTAGTGGGGATAGTGGTATGATAAAGTCCCAAACAATGATTGTTTTTGGATCTTTGTGTGATTTGAGGGATAGTAGTATTTCTTGGATAAATTTGTGTGCTCCATTATTTGGTGAGTAGATATTTAGAATTATAATATCCTCCTGAAGGAGAGATCCCTTAATTAGTATGTAGTGACCTTTTTATCTCTTCTCATTGATTTTAATTTGAAGTCTATTTTATCTGATATTAGGATTGCAACTCCTGCCTGTTTATGAGGGTGTTTGCTTTGTGGATTTTATTTCAGCCTTCTTTCAGAATATGTTTATTTTTGTGAACAACGTGTGTCTCTTCAAGAGAACAGATAGAAGGATCTTATTTTTTGATCCAATGAGACAAACTATGTCCTGGTGTCATGTAACTGTATAGATTTTAGGGTTTCAGAGATACGGGTAGGTGTTTCCCTATTTAACTCTCTTTTTCTTTGCTTGGAGAAGTACGTTGTGGCTCCAGGGTAGATATTACATATAGTTGTAACTTATGAGACAATCTGGGTTTGGCTGATAAGTAGACTGCCCCTTAGAGTCAACAAAATGGGCCCCTTGTATCCAAAATAGTCAAATTGAACCAATTTTGTAGTCAAACTAGAACCAACTGTAAGTTGGGTCTGATATAAACCATTAGGGATCAATGGACTGGAGCATATGGAGAAGACAAGGGTTAGGATAATAGTAAAAAATAGAAGATTTAAGTGAAATAGAAAATCCTAAAACACAATACACAAAAGTAACACACAGAAGTAAAAACAAACAACAAATGATTGGACATAAAAAACATAAGAACCAAACAAAAAACAAACCCTAAAGAGTGTGGGTTTTAGGTTGTTTGGGGAGCTTGAGTCTCCAAGTAGTCCTCAAAGCTGATTCCTGATAAAACCTTTTATGCCTTGCAGTAATCCACTTTCCTTGTGGCTTGGTTGGGAACATGTGGCCTTTTGAGGAGAGAGGGTGCCTGCTATCTAGAGTCACAGTCTAGCTAGTGGTGGCAGTGAGTTTGGGGGTTTCAGGTTTGTAGACTGCTATTACAGAGCTGGAGCAGTGTTCCCAGGCTTTCCCAGGTAGCCACAGGAGCCTTTGGAACAGGGCTTATGTCCATGTTCTTCTCTTATGTGATCCCTCCCTTTTGAAAGGGGGCTTGGGTCAGAGGGCTTTGGGATCCCACAGAGAATTGCTGCCCCCAGGGAGTGGACACAGTTGGATTATTCACAATGTCTGTAGCTGGTGGTGCAAAGAACCACAGAGCCTGTGCTGTGGCAGCCAGAATGGAGTTGTCAGGTTCTAAATCAGAGGGACTGGGTGCTGGTAGGTCCAGATAGGGGGTGGTGTCTGCTGCAGCTGAAGGGTCTCCTCTGTGGCATGGGGAAACCTGATGCAGGGAGGACAGGGTGGAGCTTGGTTTGGTGGGCTGGTGTGGGCAGTGGGGGCCATGCTGGTCTGCAGCAGATGGTGGGAGGCAGTGAGCAGCCGTGGGGGTGGCTGCCTGTGGCTGCAAACTGTCAGTGGTGGTGCCCACAGCAGCTTGATGATGCTGCAAGAGGCCGGGGTCTGCTCCCAGTGGCCGAAGAGAAGGAGCAGGTCCCAGCAGAGTGCCCATTTGCCAGGGACATCAGCCCATGGAGCAAAGATTGGCTGTGGTTGGGGTTTCCTGGGGACCTTGTATGGGGTTGATGGGGGGCCATGGGGATCCAGCCAGCACTGCAGGCACGTGATGACTTTGGGGGCTTACCCCGTGGTGCTGATTTGTAGTTATTGCAATGGCTGGATTGCTGAATCTATTCCTTCCCCATAGCCGCCCTGGACAGAGGGGGTATGGGGAGGCAGGTTGGAGTGGGGGTCTTTCACTGACTCTGAGGTCTTCACCAGATTCCCTCCTAACTTTCCATGGGTCTGGTGTTGAGTACTTTTTTCAGTGTGGGGGTGCTCCTCTGCCTAGAATCCACAAAAAGTCATAGTGGGGGGCGCAGATCCCATGGTGCAGCTGTTCTGCAGGGGCCCCATTCACTGTTTCTGTTTTCATTTTCCTTATTTGCCTGCTAGGATAGTGCTCTTGCAGTAGGAAAAGCCTTTAGATGTTTAGAGTTTGATTGGAGTGGATCTCTTTAGGTAAAGTGTGGCTGTGCATCTATATCTTCTTCTTTTGGTCAGACATGCATAGTGTGATTGCCTGCGAGAGCGCTGCCATCGTCCTATTCAAATCTGGGACTAATCTGTGTATGTGTTTTTCAAGAAAGATTTTCCACTACTTGTCAAATGTTGACAATATTTAATGTAATTTTTATTTTCTATGTACCAAATTATGATGAAGTTTTGTTGCTGTGATCTTAGAACCAATAACAACGACTGAAAATACTTCCAAGGAAACTCCAGCACCTTCAGTTGAAAATTTTTGAGATGGGAAATGGTGATGACAACTGACTGTCAATCATCCAGCATCAGCACCATGCTGGAAAGTCAGTGAATGTTTACTTTTTCTTTTCGAATGACTCATGGACTTGCACAAGAAGGAGCCTCTGTGAACGTTAGAAATCAGAAGGGTGCCTTTCTAAACATGGGTAAGATACCTGGACAGAGGTAAGAACTGAGAATTAGCTCTGATGTGGTGCTGACAACCATTCTATAGAAGGTGACAATTGTAGATAAACTACAATAACGGCGCATAAGTGATTTACAGCCATCCCATTTGTACACATAAATTCTAGACCTATATTTCACCAATGAATGATAACATCATGAGCTCAGAGTATCTCCAACTTCAGCTGTTAGTTTCCCCAATGGATTTGAGAATATCAAGGTGAAACAGTTCACACCATTGGAGCCAGATGCACACTGGACTCTAGTGTAGGCCAGATTATCACCCAACTCCTAGGGAGTGAACTGCCATAGTTTAATGTCAAAAATGGCAGAGGAAGATGTAAAATTAAATATTAATGAGGCCGCCATGCCATGATTTTTCAAATCAAGTCACAGCGGCTGGCCAGACAGAGCTATGAATGCTGTGCCCATTGAACAAGCCCTTAGTCTCAGACTTCTGGGACCTATGAACACAGTTACAAGGCTTTAACATTCTCCACTGTCTTCACTAGAGCCAGAGCCCCAGGACACAGAAGGCCAGAGACCAGTGTGCAGAATGAAGGATCATAACTAAAGAAGGTTGATCTAACCAAAAGACAGTGACCAAACTCTGATAAGCTCTTAAAGGTCAGGCAGCATTTAGGGAACACACAGAGTAGAGACAAGAAATGAATAACTGGGCTCCGAGTTTCTCAACAAAAAGCACAACGTTTGTTATAGTTGTGGGCCAGAACCATGTGCTTGAAGGAAATAAGTTCCATTACAAAGGAAATAAAATCACACAAGAAATTTCATTCTTAAAACAAAAATAAATACCAATCAAGGTGAAAAAAAAAGAAATTTCATTCTTATATTACTGGTTATCAGAATACTATTTAAGAGACAAAGATTTTAAAAAAATTTAAAAAAATGTACTTCCATGACTGTTCTCCCAGTGCTTGTAGGTTGAATGGAGACATATTGTGATACAACCCTCATCTCCACTCAGAGTCACTCTTAGGTTGATCAAAATATCTTCCTCCCAGGCAGACTCAGACAATTTGCTCTGCTGCTCCCCAGACTAGCCACCCATGAGGGCAGCTCACCCAACCTAAAAGGGAGGTTTTAGTTCAGGGCTGTATCACTGTGGGAGGATTATGTGTAGCTTGAAAGGAGTAATAAACTCCAACATCCTCAGTTTCTACCCTACTGATTCTCAATGTGAAATCTCTGCCTGACCCACTGCCAGTGAATCTGTCTGGGACTCCAGATACTCGGTTGGAAACCTGATAGATCAGGAATCGTGGAGACTGGCCTGGCTTCTGCAGGTACCAATACAAATATGTGTTTCCATTGCTATGTAGGAGGCTCTGACTAGACCTGCAGGAGATGAAGGCCGGCTCCCCCATGGTGACAGGCAGAGAGACTGGAGTCTGGGTCATCACAACATCTCCATTGGATCCTGAAATTAGAATAAGACAGAAGTGATAAGAAGTGTACTTATTATCTTGCCCATGTAATTGTAACCCCTCTATACAGTATTTTCACAATAAAAAATAAATAAATAAAAAGAAGTGAAAGTTATATACATACATAGAAATGTGTGCTGTTATTATTTGCATTTTGATATATATTGCCTGATATGCATATTTTGAATGATTCAAAAATCTAAAAATATTAACTATTAAAAATAGATATATCTCTAGATCATAAATGGGTCTCTAGGAGTCAGTGACTATATTGTCGTCTAGCAGAGACTTCACCCAAGCATAGTTTCAAGCTCTTTCTGGAATGTTCCTCAATCTCTCACTTGCCCTATCATGGATAACAAGACTTGTAACTCCAACACATGGATAGATCACAACTGAGCCCTGAGAGCTCACCCTCCCACCCACTCTGATTCCTCATCTCCCTTTGCCCTTACCAGGGATCCAGAGCATTAACAGCCACAGGAGCTGAGACAAGGACTTCATTTTTAGGAGTCAAATGAGGAGTCTTGACAGATCAAGACAAGATCAAAGCTGAGCCTTTATCTCAGACTTAGAAAGAAAGATCCTCCTTAGGGAGCAAAATGCAAATAGCCAGGTGGGTGCAATACTGTGTGAAGAGCCTAGGGGAGGGGAAGGCCTGCTCTTCTGAGGAAAGTTGCACCTGCTGTGTTCTGTGTTTGGTGATAACCAATAAAATCCATGGTGCTTGCAGCATGGGAAGGAGAACCCCACTGAAAAAATCTCAATCTGAGGGGAAGATAGGGTGCAAATGACCCTGCCATCCTAAAACAGCAGCAGAGACCCAAACATACACAGGTTTATGTCAAGGACAGTCTGTAGGAATGGAATGGACACATGCTTGGATCTTGTGAGCCTCCTTTAGCTAGTCTAGAGAAGGACAGTGTGTCTAACATCAGCAGTATGGATTCTCAAGGGAGATGAATAGAGCTAGATGAATAGAGATCTGATACAATAGTTACCAAGTTATGTGTTTAGGAATGCTAGCTACAAGTGTTTAAACCACTGTTTCCAAAGAAACTTCCTATTAAGACTCAGAGTAGAGAATTGAAAGGAAGAATACAATTTTCTCTTACTAGTAGTGATCTAAATGTCTTTATAAGATAAAACAAAACTGGTGTAAAGGTTTAGATTTGGCAGTGTGAATACATATTCAAGTAAAAAGTGTTAAAATCCACTAAATATCCTGTCATTCTTCCACACTCTTCCACACTGTACTTTGACAACAAATTAATCACAGAATCTCTTAAAATGTCTCTCTTGAAATGACTCTGTTCCCAATCTAATTTAGCCAGTCTCTGTTTATTTGTCACAGAGATTTCAGTCTCTGCTTCTTGTCTCCAAGGATTCTGGCTCTGTCGTATGGCAGAATATCACCTGGGAATAAGGGGCACATGGACAAGGAGGCTGGTGCTGATGCCCCAGAATACCCCAAATGCTCATCTGAAGAACTTCCCTGTGGGAGGTGATTAGGTCATTGGAGGTCCTGCCCTCAGGAGGATCATCAGTTCTGTCATGGAATGAATCAATTCTCATAATAGTCGATTATTATAGAGTGAAGACACCATATGTCAGGCCCCTCAACTTGCAGCTGGTTCTCTTTTCATTGACACAACGTATTGTTGGACAAACAGGACAGGCCTCACCTGCATAGAGGCAGATGAGTCTAGGGCCTCTAAGACTTTCTGCACCTGAAACTTTGAGTTAAACAAAATTCTTATTCAGAGCTTGGGCCAGTTTCTTTGTTATAGAAAGATACAGAGAGGGGTGTGTGTGTGTGTGTGTGTGTGTGTGTGTGTGTGTGTGTGTGTTGGATGTGGTTTACATAGAAATGTTCTTTAAAGGGCTTATTGAGGAATAAAAAATATTACTCTACCTGATACATCTATCCTAAACAGCTTGGTAAATCTTAAGAAATCACATTTAGATTCCTTAAGAATCAATGTGGAGTCACATTCATTAGATCTGAGGTGGGTTTTTTTTTTTATTGTGAAAATACTGTACAGAGGGGTTACAATTACATCGGCAAGATAATGAGTACATTTCTTATCAAGCATGGTAGCTGCTTCCTTTGTTTCCCCTTCCCATCCCTTCCCATCCT